TTTTTTTACTGTTACCCAGAAGAGTTTGGCTCAGTCATCAGGAAGAATTCAGGAGGAATTTCTCCCTGGAAAGGGTGGTCAGGCACTGGCAGGACTTCCCTTGGCTCCTGCCACAGCCAGGCCTCGATAACTTGTTGGAGAAGTAACAATTATTGTGAACTTTCAAACACATTTGCCCCGTAGCCTTTCCCCTGTGAACTCTGATGGCCCCTCTTGAGCAAGGGCCTCATGTTCTGCTGCACCTTTGCTTTCAAAGAGATGTTTGGCCTCAGGTCACTCATCTCTGAACTCTGGTGGCCCCTCTCGAGCAGGAGCTGCACATTGTGCTGGGTCACTCTTTTGATAAAAAGGTGTTTGGTTAATAAGTCACCCAAACTTCGGTGACTCTGCTGCTTGGCGTGCCAGCTGCTGCAAACCACGGAGAGCATCCTGCCTGAACTCCAGGCACCTTCCTGAGCAAAGGCCAGAGGTTTAGGTCTTCCATGCCAAGAGTTCACCACGGTTCTTGTAGTACAAGCTCCCTGGAGAAGCTCAGTGGCCATAAAAGTTGACTCCTGCCTGGAATCTGGCCCAGCCACGTGCACAGTGACTCACTTGAGACAACCCTGACCCAGCAGAGCCTCTCCAGGAGCAACTGCTGCCTCTGCCCTGCTAATTGTTCTCAATCACTTGAGATAATGTAAATGCCTGGAAAAGCTTCTTCAGGTGCCTTGATAGCACTTTAATCCATGCTTTTATCAGTGTTCAAACCCTACTCTTCGAACCCTGATAACCTGTTTCAGCAAACACTTTGGACAGGCAAACATTAAAGTCCACCATGGTATAAAGGAGCTACAGCTCTTTTCTGCCTTCATATTCTACTGAAGGAGTTGGAAGGAGCAGTTATCTCCTTTCCTGCCCCTCGGCAGGGATGTGGAGGCCCCAGGTAACCGCTGGGCTGGTTCTTTTCCTCGCTTTCTGGGGCGTGGCAGAAGGTGGGAAGCTCTTGGTGGTGCCCCAGGATGGGAGTCACTGGCTGAGCATGCGCATGGTGCTGGAGAAACTCTGGGAGAAGGGGCACGAAATTGTGGCCGTGGTTCCCGATGCCGCTCTGCTCCTGAAGAGCCCCCAGTCCTTCACCATCAAAACATACTCGGTGCCCTACACGCAGGAGTTTGTGGACAAATACTACCAGGAGATGGGGGAGAAGAGCTTTGAGCTGACATTCACAGCTCTGTTCAGCAACATCTCCCAGCTGACCAGCCTGTTCTCCTCTGCCTGTCGGCACCTCCTGTACGACAAAGAGCTGATGAGGTACCTCCAGGACAGCAGATTCGATGCCATCATGATGGACCCCGTGCTGCCCTGCGGACCCATCCTTGCTGAGCACCTCTCCCTCCCCTCAGTCTACTTCATGCGTGGCCTCCCGTGCACCTTAGACTACAAGGCTGCCCAGTGTCCCAGTCCCGTGTCCTACGTGCCCAGGACCTTCTCCTCCACGTCGGATCGCATGATGTTCCCGGAGCGTGTGAAGAACCTCCTGATTGGGCTCTCAGAGCCCGTGCTTTGCTACCTCTTCTATACAGAGTACAGGAACTTGGCCTCTGAGTTTCTCCAGAGGGATGTAACGATGCAGGAGCTCTTCAGCAAAGCCTCGGTGATGCTGATGAGATACGACTTTGTCTTTGAGTACCCGCGCCCCGTAATGCCCAACATGGTCTATGTCGGGGGCATCAACTGCGTGCAGAAGAAGCCCTTGTCGGAGGTTGGTCATGGCTTACCCCGAGGGTGGCAGGGTGTTTATTGGTGGCTCTTTAGGACGTGCTGGTTTAAGTGCTCTCTTGGTGTGTTCAGCTGGAGAAGAGGAGGCTGAGGGTAGACCTCGTTAAAGTCACATCTTCATCCAGGGACAGAGGAGGGGCAGGGACTGAGCTCTGCTCTGTGGGGATCAGGGACAGCATCCAGGGAAGGGCTGGAGCTGTGTCAGGGCAGGGCTCAGGTTGGATCTCAGGGACAAGGTTCTTCCCCCAGAGGGTGGTTGGGCACTGAACAGGCTCCCCAGGGCAGTGGGCACAGCCCCGAGGCTGCCAGAGCTCCAGGAGGGTTTGGACAACACCCTTAGGAAAAGGGTGGGATTGTTGGGGTGTCCTGGGCAGGGCCAGGAGTTAGACTGGTGATCCTTGTGGATCCTTCCAGCTGAGGATGATTGGGCAAAGAAGCCTTCAGGACTGTAACCTCTCCCTTCCCTTGTCTAAATCTCCCTCGTGCTGTGCAGACAGGGCAGATGTCAGTGGTTCATCCTTTCAGACCAGGAGTTATTGCTCAGCTTGCGACACCTTTACTGCTGTAAACCCAGGACTTTCCCTGTGATAACTGCTGTGATAGAGCACCAAATCTGCAGATAAACCTTTACAACCCACTGTATATCAAATCTCCGTCAATCTTTGCTTCTTGGTTACGCTCCAAGGGCACAAAGCAGTCCAAAGGTCAGGCTCGTTCCATGTCCAATCAGCGGAGCAGACAAGGCAGGGAGGTGATCATTACCTGGATGTTAATGATTGCTGTGTCAGTCCCATTCATGACTCTTGCTCAGCCTTTCAGCCCAACATGCTGTTGGTCCCTGCTCTCGTGGTCCCTCCTTCCTCTGTCACTCCTCCCCAGAGTGTTTGAGTCCTCCGATGTCAGTCCAAACATTCAGCTCCACCTCGCGGCGCCCGGTCGCTCAAAGCTTTCACTCTGCACAGAAGACAAACCCAATATTTACCCACAGTTAAAAATTACCCCCATTTCTCTCTGTTAAAAACTAACCCCCCAGCTTAGTTAAAATTCAAGTGCAAAGTACTCCCTGTGGTTCATTCCCTCTGCTGCAGCCGTTTAAACCCCTCTTGGGTTCCCATGGGGGAAATGGCTCCTTCCAACCCAGGATTTCGTTCTGCTGCCTCCTGGGCTGTGTTTTTCCTGCTCCTGTGGACCTTTGGAGAAGGTGGGAAGCTTTTGGTCGTGCCCATTGATGGCAGCCACTGGCTGAGCATGCTCCCGGTCGTGGAGCGGCTCCGGCAGCGGGGACACCACGTCGTGGTGGTGGCACCGGAGACGAACCTCAGGATCCGCCCGTCAGGGCTTTACACCCTGAAAACGTACTCTGTGTCTTACACCAGGGAGTATGTGGAGGCAGAATTCCAGCAGATGGGCCACAGGAGCTTCACCCCCCAGCCCTTCTTGGAGAAACTCGCCAGAATAGCCAATTTTACCACCATGTTCTTCGACTCCTGCAAACGCCTCCTGGCCAACAGAGAGCTGATCCGGTACCTCGAGGAGAGCAGATTTGACACCGTTTTCATGGATCCCTTCTTTCCCTGCGGGCAGATAGTGGCTGAGCACCTCTCCCTGCCCTCCGTGTACTTCGTCCGGGGGCTGCCCTGCGGCCTCGACTCGCAGGCCACCCTGTGCCCAAGCCCTCCTTCCTACGTTCCCAGGTTCTTCACCCGCCTCACGGACCGCATGAGCTTCCTCCAGCGCCTGGGCAACCTCGTGGCCAGCCTGAGCAGTTCCCTGGCGTGCTCTTTCCTTTATTCTCCCTACGATGCTTTGATCAGGGAGTTCCTGCGGCGGGAGGCGACGGTGCCGGAGCTGCTGGGCCGGGCGGCCCTCTGGCTCCTGAAATACGACTTTGTGTTTGAGTTCCCCCGGCCCCTCATGCCCAACATGGTCCCAGTCGGGGGCATCGGCTGCGCTCAGGAAAATGAGTTGTCCCAGGTTAGTTCCCTTCTTCCCCCGGTGCCTGCGCTGAGGGATCTCTCCAGGAGATGGAGCTCCCAGGCAGGAATAAATGACGCCAGGTGGGAGCGGCTGGGCAAGCGCTTGGCACCCGGACAGTTAAATATGCCTCTGGACAGTTAAATATGCCTCTGGACAGCCCCAAAACTGTGGTAAACAGCAGAAACTAAGAGAGTCAGTCTTGGTTGCCTCTCCCCGTGGCAGAGGGTTGGAATGAGATGATCTTTAAAGTCCCTTCCAACCCAAATCGTTCCATGGTTATCCCAGCGGATCCTGGAGATAACAGTTCACTTGGCAGACTTCTTACAGGAACTTTTAGTTCATTTTATTCCACTTGCTCCACTCTGATTCCTGCAACAGTTTCCTCCAGTTTTATCTTCCCTTCCCTGGCTTGACCAAATATTTTTCTATGGCAGAGAATTTTCGCTCCAGCCTCTGGCAGTTTTTGTGCTTCATTGGAATCCCTTTGTTCTTGGATTCCAGTGCTGGATCTCCTGGTCCTTCTGTTATGGAAATCAATCAGACCAAATAGATACAACCCCCTGGCAGCACTTCAGTATTATCCTACTCAAAGCAAAGGCAATAAATCCAGATATGAGGAGTTCAAGCTGTCAGAACACTTGTCCAAAATTTTCATTCTCTCTTGCAGCTCTGGGGGCTGAAAAGAAGAACATCAGCTCTAAATCCTGACTTGCAGTAAATGTGGGAATGAGCCAGCTGGGGAATGGCTGCCAGGAAAAACAGGACGGTGATCTATCCAAGGCCAGCCTGGATGGGGCTTGCAGCAACCTGGTCGAGTGGAAGGTGTCCCTGCCATGGCAGGGGGTGGAATGAGATGGACTTTGATGCCCCTTCCCACCCAATCCATTCTGGGATTCCGTGAATTGATCTCTTCAATTGCTGCAGCGTCATTTTTGTGGCACAGACCGTGTCTTTGAGCAGACAGGCTCTGCTGCATGATTGTTTTCCAGCCAGTTTTTCCTCAGGTCCGCGGTGAATCTGAGTCCAGGCACCTCCCTACCTTTGTTGACCCGCCTGTGCCCATTTCTTTTCCCCCAGGACTCGTTTTCCTGCCCACAGCTGCCTTCCCTGATCATAACTCGGTGGCGGCGTGTCACGGTTTTGGTTCCTTGCGTCGACTCCTGATTTCCTGGCCTTTTCCAGGGAGTTTTGTGGGAATGCCACAGCGATTCCAGCGTCTGACCCGCACGGGACCTTGACCGAGGGTGTGCTTGTTTTGGCAGGAGTTCGAAGCCATGGTGAATGCCTCTGGGGAACACGGCATCGTCGTCTTCTCGCTGGGCTCCATGGTGTCCGAGATCCCCCCGAAGAAAGCCATGGAGATCGCAGATGCCCTGGGGACGGTCCCTCAGACGGTACCACTGCCCCCCTCCCCTGCCAGCAGGGCTGTTCCCAGGCCCTCCCTTCCCTCTGCTGCCCTGACTGACGTGCTGTTGGTCCCTCCTGGCAGGTGCTGTGGAGATACACGGGCCCGACGCCCCCCAACCTGCCCAAGAACGTGAAGCTCGTCAAGTGGCTGCCGCAGAACGATCTCCTGGGTAGGTCTGAGGGGCCTCCAGAGACACCAGGGGCTTCTTTGGCTCTTTTTTGCTTTTTTTTTTGCCCTTCTACTCTTTTTTACTCTTAGTCTTTTACTCTCTTTTTGCTCTTTTACTCTTTCTTTACTCTTAGTCTTTTACTCTCTTTTACTCGCTTTTATTCTTTTTTTTAAATTATTTTTAAATTCTTTTTTTACTCTTCTTTTTTACTTTCACTGTTTTTTACTTTTACTCTTTTTTACTCTTTTTCTACTTTTTTTTTTACTCCTCTTTTTTACTCTGTACTCTTTTTTACTTTCTTGTACTCATTTTTACTCTTTTACTCTCTTGCTCTCTTTTCTTTTTTACTCTTTTTTATTTTTTTATTCTTTTTTATTCTGTTTTATTCTTTTTTACTTTCTTGTACTCTTTTTTACTCTTTATTGCTGTCTTTTCTTTTTTACTCTTTTTTTTTACTCTTTTACTCTTTATTGCTGTCTTTTCTACTTTTTTTACCCTTTTTTTACTCTTTTTTTACTCTTTTTTTACTCTTTTACTCTTTATTGCTGTCTTTTCTTTTTTACTCTTTTTTTACTCTTTTACTCTATTGCTGTCTTTTCTTTTTTACTATTTTTTACTTTTCTTTACTCTTTTTTTACTCTTTTACTCTGTTGCTGTCTTTTCTTTTTTACTCTTTTTTTACTTTTCTTTACTCTTTTTTTACTCTTTTTTTTACTCTTTTTTACTTTTTTTTTACTCTTTTTTATTTTTTTATTCTTTTTTATTGTTTTATTCTTTTTTAATTTCTTGTACTCTTTTTTACTCTTTTACTCTATTGCTGTCTTTTCTTTTTTACTCTTTTTTACTTTTTTTTTACTATTTTTTATTTTTTTATTCTTTTTTATTGTTTTATTCTTTTTTAATTTCTTGTACTCTTTTTTACTCTTTTACTCTATTGCTCTTTTCTTTTTTACTCTTTTTTTACTTTTCTTTACTCTTTTTTTACTCTTTTATTGTTTTATTCTTTTTAATTTCTTATTACTCTTTTTCTACTCTTTTACTCTATTGCTGTCTTTCTTTTACTTTTTTACTCTTTTTATTTTTATTCTTTTTATTGTTTTATTCTTTTAATTTCTTATTATCTTTTTACTCTTTACTCTATTGCTGTCTTTTCTTTTACTCTTTTTACTTTTTATTCTTTTTATTTTTATTCTTTTATTGTTTTATTCTTTTTTAATTTCTTGTACTCTTTTTTACTCTTTTACTCTATTGCTCTTTTCTTTTTTACTTTTTTTTTACTCTTTTTTTACTCTTTTACTCTATTGCTGTCTTTTCTTTTTTACTCTTTTTTACTCTTTTTTTTACTCTTTTACTCTATTGCTGTCTTTTCTTTTTTACTCTTTTTTTACTTACTTTTTTTACTCTTTTACTCTATTGCTGTCTTTTCTTTTTTACTCTTTTTTTACTCTTTTCTTTACTCTTTTTTTACTCTTTTACTCTTTTACTGTTGTAAAGCCCCACGAGCATCACCTGTGGGTCACAGGCCTTGCTGGGAGTCACCACCACATGACCCCGTCCCTGTGGGTCACAGACCTTCCTTGCAGCCTTTGCTGCTGGAGCCAGAGCTTGTCTTGGAGGAGCTGCCTCTTCAGGCCTGCTGAGTTACTGAACCAGCTCTGGTTGCTCCCAAAGTGATCCCAAAGCTCCCAGTCCAACACGGGAGTCTTTATCTCTCACTCACCAGCTGTGCTTTTGTCATCCCTGCTGGGCTGAGAAGCAAATTCAGGGTCCCCAGGTGAGCACCTGCAGACAGGTCCTCGGGCTTCCCAAAGTGGTGAAGGTGTGTGTGACGTCGCCAGGAGAGCATCTCGTGGTGAGACCACGGGCTCAGCAGATCAGAGGGTCACAGAGTATGCTGAGATGCCATCAGGATCATCCAGTCCAGCTCCTGGCCCTGCACAGGACACCCCAACAGTCCCCCGTGTCCCTGAGGGCATTGTCCAAACTCAGACAGGCTTTTGGCTCTCCCATTCCCTGGGAAGCCTGGTCAGTGCCCCACCACCCTCTGGGGGAAGAACCCTTCCCTGAGATCCAGCCTGACCCTGGCAAAAAAGTAACTCAATGGCAACACCCACTTTAGCCCCTCCTGGCTCTGATTTAATCCTAAAACCCTTGGAGGATTATCCAGTGACTACCCCAGCCGAGACAGAGCTCTCCAGCTCCAGGTTCCTTCAACCCCCTGTTCTCCCCCCTCAGTCCATGAGGAATGCACAACCTAAAGCTCTTGATTTATACCCACAGGTCTTGATTCACACCAGCCAGGGCCGTTTTTTGGGCAGGTTTTGTGTTGCTGTGAGTCAGTAACCTGTGTTTGCCTCCACAGCCCACCCCAAGACTCGAGCCTTCATCACCCACGGGGGCTCCCACGGGGTCTACGAGGGCATCTGCAACGCGGTGCCCATGGTGCTGATGCCCCTGTTCGGAGACCAGATGGACAATGCCAAGAGAGTGGAGTCCAGGGGGGCAGGGCTGACCCTGAACATCCTGGAAATGACCTCCCAGGACATCTCCACTGCCCTGAAAGCCGTCATTAATGACAAAAAGTGAGTGACAGGAGGGCGAGCCCCACTGTGGGGCACCCGCAGGGACCTCCTGCTCTGCAGGGCCGGGCTCTGCTCCCAGGGGGATTCTCAGGTCAAGGTTATGGAGCTGAGAGCAGCTCCCTCCTTTGAGCCTTGTCCTGGGTAAAACTTGGCCTGTCCCTGTGGAATCAGTGGGTGACAGGAACTGGCTGGTGGGGGAGGATGCAGGGAGGGAGGATGTAGGGGTGGGAGGATGCAGGGATCAGGGGATGCAGGGATCAGAGAAGCTGGGCTATAAATGCAATGGAATAAGTCAGTTTGACCAAAATGTCACCTCCTTAAATTCCAATATCCCAGGCAAAGGGGGCTTGGACACACCGTGGCAGGAAAGGCAGTGGGTGAAGGGAGAGGTGACAAACAGGTTTTATTCCCCAAGCCAATAGTGACACGAGTTAGGGGAGAGCCTGGAAGGGTGGAGTGGTTGATTTTCTTTGCATGAGGCTTACCCAGAGATGCTGAAGGCAAGTGGTGGTGGCCCAGAGTATTCCAGAGGCTGTATTCCTGCAGGAAGCTCTGCTTTCCAGCTGGCAGGGTTCACCACACAGAGCTGTTAGCCCTCATTTATTTTACAGATGAGTTTTCTCACTCTTTTTTCCCCCACTGGAGCTCATCAGGAGCTGTGTGAGCACAGAGAGCTGCAGGCTGGGCAGTTCCAGCACAGGGCAGGAGGAACATGCAGGGATGCACTGGGAAGGGACAGGGGAGATCCCAGGATTGCAGTCACAGCGTGGCCAGGGTGTTTTAAGGAAAGGAAAGGAGCTTGAAGACATAAGAGCTCTTTCCTTTCCTCCCGTTCCCAGTTTCTTAGTCCTTGGTATCCTCTTCTCCATCCTGTTGCAGAGAAATAGCACCTTCTTGGCAGTGTTTCCTAACCACTGTCCTTACAGCAATAATGATGATAATAATGATAATAATACAATGGTAATGACAATAATGATGATGATGCAGCAGCTTGATCTGGAAAAGCTGGACAGCTTTTCTACCCCCAGTCTCCCATTTCAGCCTGAGACCTTCACCCCAGAGATTTTGCTGAGAGCTCAAACTAAGCTTTTCCTTATTTTCTGATGCCTTTCCCTGTTTTTTTTTAGCATTGAAAAGAGCACTTTCTGGGCCTGTGACTTTGCCATCATCCTTCTCAAGGGGTGGGAGTAGGGAGATGGGAAACACCCTCAGAGGAGCCCCCAGGGGCCATCAGACAACTGGATCCGCATCCCCTCCTTTCCAGGGGCTCAGTCTCAGAACCACAAATCCAGTGGAGTCCAGAGAAGCTGTGGCTTCTCCATCCCTGGAAGCGTCCAAGGCCGGGCTGGAGCAGCCTGGGCCGGTGGGAGGTGTCCCTGCCCGCGGCAGGGGGGGTGGAATGGGACGAGCTTTGCGATCCTTTCCAATCCACACCGTTCCATGACCGAAACCTCGCCCCGGCAGGTACAAGGAGAACATCCAGCGCCTCTCCGACCTCCACCTGGACAGGCCCATCCACCCCCTGGACCTGGCTGTGCACTGGGTGGAGTTTGTGATGAGGCACAAAGGGGCCCCCCACCTCAGGCCCGCCGCCCACGACCTCAACTGGGTGCAGTACCACTCCCTGGACGTGCTGGCCTTCCTGCTGCTCGTGCTGCTCCTCTCCCTCTTCATCTCCTTCAAGTGCTGCCTGTGCTGCTGCCGCCGCTGCTGCGGCAAGAAGGGAAGGACGAAGAAAGCCGCCAAATCCAAGACCCACTAGCGGCTGAATCCGAGTCCCACCGGCAGGTGGGAGATGAATCCTCTGCTGTGACCTCAAGGATCAGAGGACAGCTCAGATTTCACTGCAGTAAGCACTGATTTTCAGTCCAGCAATAATAGGGATCCTTTAAAATAGCAACACGAGAGAGGTTGTTGCACTGAGATAATTTTTTGCCTTTAATTAAGAATCTGTTGTTTCAAAATACCTTGTGGGGAAGTTGCCTTTCACGCTCAGGCACTTCAGGGCTCCTGGTTTCCACCTTCTGATGTACAGAGGACTCACAGGGACTTCTTATTTCCACCTCTCCGTGCAACAGGCAGCTTGGATTTGCAGGGAATTTTGGAAGTGTTCCAGGGTTTTAGGAGAACCATCTCATGTCAGGTTTATCAGACACCCTGAGATCTTTTGTGCAGCTGCTGTTGTAGAAGAGGCAGATGTTATGCACTGACCATACACCTCATGGAAACCAAGCTTCCAGTGGGGTTTGGGGGAGTGTTTACAATATCCTGAACAAAACCAAGGGTTTTGGCAGGGAAGCTGCTGGAAAACCACTGTGTTTCCCCCCAAATTCCTCCTGCCCAGCACTGTGGCTGGAGCTCACCTGTTTGGCAACGAGACCTTTGTTAAGCATCAGCTGCGAACCCCGACTGATTGATTCCTGGGGAGTGATGCTCAGGTAAAAACCCAACCCCCAGCCCTATAAATAAACCCCAAATCCTAAAAATAACGGCTCTTGTGTTTTCTGCATCCAGGGGAGAAGTGATTAATTGCCAGAAGGAATCAGGGACAAAACACAGGGAGAAACTCCCCCTCCATGGGAGGAACGTGCCCAGCTCCCCACTCCTGTCAGGGCACAGGTCCCACCTCCCCCTAAAAGCCACTGTCACCCAATCCTGCTCTGACAGGTCCCTACACGTGCTCCTGGCACCAATTCCCTCCCTAGTAAGGAAAGGTTAAAGGTTCCATTGGATCTGATTCCTTAGGGTGATAAAAGCAAGTCACGAAGCAAACCCCAGATCCCCCCAGCCAGGTCTTGGCTGGTGTCACCTGTGCCCCAACACAACATACAAAAATATCCCAACTGCAGCTCAGAACCTAATTTAAAAAAATTAATTAAAAAAATTTTTAAAATTAAAAATTAAAATTAAAAAAATTATAATTTTTTTTTAAAATTTAAAAAAAAAATAAAAAAAATCGAAATGCCCATCCCCCTGGTTTATTTAATTTCAGAAAGATCTTTAAAAAAAATATATATTTAAGGCTTTTTGCCAAAGCAAAACTGCAGCAGAAACTGGGTGTCCTCCTCCTCTTTCTCTCCTTTTTTTCCTTCACTCTCCTTAGCCTCGACTGCTTCGTCCTGCTCTTTATTTTCCCTTGGAGAGGGGATGTGCGGGGCCAGGACTGGAGTGTCCAGCAGAGGCCACTCTGGGATCACCACTGCGAGAAATCAAGGAAAAGGTTCTCCCCTTCCCACCAAACCAGCCCAGGTGGGTGGGACAGCGACTTGTTTATCCCCCGGGAATGCGGACCCTGCTGCGAGGAGATGAATCTCGGAGGGAATCGGGAGCCAAAGCAACGGCTTTGGAGCAGAGGAAGGAGCTGGAGGGGCTGCAGCATCACCAGCGGCTCTCCCAAACGTTCCCAAGGGAAGGGTTAATCGGGGACAGTTTCCCCTCCTATTGCCCCGTAGTTGGATCCTTGAACAGGGCAGAGCCTCCAGCCCAGCTCCCCTTCCCGGGGGATGGAGAAATCCACACCCACAGCCCCTTGGGAAGGCTCAGAGCTGGGGCTGGGTCACTTCCCAGGAGGGGAAACTGAGGCACGGCCAACCCTCACCCCCTCCCCGAGTTCCCAGAGCCCCAGGCTGGGCTTTTCCAGCAAACCCTTCGAATCTTTGGGAAAAGAAGCATCCAGAATCCCTCGGGGGTACAAACACCTCCCACTCAGCACCACCGAGCACCCACATAACCCCCTGCAGAACTGCTGCTTCCTGCTCCCACCCGGGGGCTCTTTTTAGTGTTGATTTTATTTTTCCCTGGATTTTAACATCCAGGAAAACTGGGGCAACAAAAAAGCAGCAGGAGACAGACCTGTGCCAGGACCCACCCACCGCCCCAGGGTGGGGGATTATTCCTTCCCAGCATCCCATCTAACCCTGCCCTCTGGCAGCTTAAAGCCATTCTCCCTTAGGTCCCTCAGAGCTGCACTTAATTAATTAATTAATTTAATTTATCACCTCTCTTTTGGGTGCCTTTTTGTAAAGTAAATCCTTCCTGCTGCGGGTACCCAGTGATGCCTGTCTGGGGTGGGGGGGTGGTGGTTCGTGGGAGCTCCCAAACTCCCTGCCAGCCTCATTTCCCACTGTGGGAAAGCACTGGAAGCACTGCAGATGAGCACCCAACACAGCTCTCCCAGTGTCCCCTGCAGGGCTGCTTTGAGGAGTGTGATGAATCCAGGGGAGAAGTGATTGATTGCCAGAAGGAATCAGGGACAAAACACAGCCCAGTCTCCCCCTCCACGGGAGGAACGTGCCCAGCTCCCCCTCCTGTCAGGGCACAGGTCCCACCTCCCCTAAAAGCCACTGTCACCCAATCTCTGCTCTGACAGGTCCCTGCACGTGCTCCTGGCACCAATTCCCTCCCTAGTAAGGAAAAGATAAAGGTTCCATTGGATCTGATTCCTTAGGGTGATAAAAGCAAGTCATGAAGCAAACCCCAGATCCCCCCAGCCAGGTGTGTGCTCCAAAACCAGCCTGAACAGAGGCAGCAGATTGTTTCCCCTGGGAATGCTCCCAGCCTGGGGGACACAATCCCTGCTTGGCTGGGGCAGATCCAAGCGAGCTGTGCCTGTTCCCAAACATCCCTGTCCAGCTCCTCATCCCAGCCAGGGACCAAACTGCATCCTGGTTTTGGTTATTCCCAACTCCTTGGAGGGGTGGGGAGATGATTTCAGCGGGGCAGGAGGGGGATGATTCAGGGATGGGCAGGGGGAGGAAGGGGAAACCACAGCCAGTGTCACTCACAGCACAGCACGGAGCGAGGCTGTTATTCCCTGTTATCCTTTGGGATGCTGTAAGGGCTCATGCCTCCTGTGGGGTCAGGAATCCATGGACCATCAATTCCTCACCTTTGGCAAACTGAAGCCCCAGCCAGAGTCCCACATATTTCACTTCCATGGCTTGGGATCTGAACTCCATCGGAAGCAGGAGCACCACGACTGCCTTGGCCAGACACACTTGGAGATGTTCCCTGCAGTCAGGAAAACATCTCTGTGCCAAAACAATCAGGAATTTTCTTACCCAGAGCTTGACCAAAAGCAGCAGCCTCGGGGGTGAGATGGTTTCCAGCAACTTTCCCCTGGAGAGGGTGGGAGGGAGAAGGGATTGAGTGGAAAACCCACCAAGAGGCTCCCATGTGTCCAGGCTGCTTTGGGATGAAGAGACACCAGCAGATGACATCTGACTGGGAGCACTGGAACAGTAACAGCTTTAATTAGAATATTCTTTTTTCCAAAAGTCTTTTTTTCTTTAAAAAGAAAGAAAGAAAGAAAGAAAAGAAAAGGAACATCAAACAACAAGCACAAGAAGCAGGCACTGCACAAGGGGGGGGGGGGATGCAAAGCCCAGAGAGATCTGTTGGAGAAGGGCTTGAAGGAAAAGGCATCCCAAGGACATATTCCTGGTCCCAGCAGGTGAGGAAGGATTGGATTTCAGGTTAAGGACAGGGAGAAATGACTGGAGTTGTCCCAAAAGGTGCTGGCTGTGATCCCCTGGGATCGGGGAGGGCACAGGGTGTGGATGAGCTGAGCACAAAGTGGTTCAGGCAGCGGCTGAAATGCTCAGGAGAACCTGAGGTAGAGAAAACCCAAGGAGGAGGTGGGGGGGAAATGAACTGCTGGAATCATCCAGGGACATCCCCAAATCCCAGCAGACCCAAACTCCTGCCCTCCCCTGTGGCTGCCACCCCTCCCATCCCAGGGCCTGGCCAGGAGAAGGGGGAAAGCCAAGGCTGGGGGCAAACCCCAGGAGAAAGGCATCCCTCTGCCTGCACAGGGATTGCTGCTCCTGCAGGGAAAAATGTGCTCTTAGGGTGTCCCAGGGAGAGGGGTCTGGCTGCTCAAACCCCCTTGAGCTGCACAGGAAACTCCTCCAAACTCTCCCACAAAGCCTGGGGAGAAATTTCAGTGCTGTTTTACAGTCACGGAGTGATTGTGGATGTGATCCTGGGAAGAGGGAAACCATTCCCTTTGCCAGCACCATCCCATTCCTTCTCTTTTTTCCTAATTAACCTCCCTGTTGTAGCAGCTTTTCCCTAAAAAAAGAGCCTTTGCCCTTAAAATAAGCTTTCTGTGCCAAAACATTCCCCTCCCACGTGAAATACCCGAAAGCTGGGAGCAGGAGGGGGAGGGAAGGTCATTCCAAAAACTTGAGTATAAAGGGAAAAGGGAGAAAAATCCAGGCACTCAATGCCACAAATACTGAGCTCGTTGGCACCAGGTTTAGAGCAAAGATTATTTCCAATTTAAACTGGACTCAAAGGAGCCTTGAAGCCCTCTGGAATAACACCAAGGAGTGTTAAATCCCTGGAATATCTCCAGAGAGCTCAGATTTCCAATTAGGAGAAAAATTACCTCTTTTCCCTCTCTTTTTTTTTTTTTTTTTGGATGGCAGCAATTCCCTCCTCTTTCCCAGCCTCTCCCCCTCAGTTTGGTGCCAGGGCAGGGTGATCCCCTCTCAGCATCCTCCTGGTCCATCTCCCAGGGAGGTCTCTGGCAGATCCCAAACCTCCAGCTTCTTCCAGAGGTGTCCTGCAGCACCTGGGAGGGACGAAGCTGGAAGGGGCAGCATCTCCCTGTCTGCAGAGGAGAAAAAACACAGTCTGCAGACACATGAAAACAACCCAAAAATCAGCCAAAGGGCTCGCAGGGCCTGGCAATTAAATTTTAAAAAAAAAAAAAAAAAAAGGTCTTTTTTGGTGCAAGGTGCTTGGTGGGTTGAGGACATCCCAGATTCAGGGATATTCCAAGTTCATCCAGTGCTTTAGTCACACCTGGTATCTGCCAAAGCCTGACCACAGTGGGGGAGAGCAGCCCTGTGCTTCCTCTTAAAACACCTATTTCCAGGACTCACCTCAGAAACCAATTTAAAAGCGGATCCTCCAACCTAAAAAACAGCCACAGCTTTTCCCCCCCACCCCTCCCTCCCCAAAGCGCTTCCAACTTTTACTGCTCGTTACAAAAATTAGACTTTTATTTGGAAATGCCTAAAAAACACCACCTCTTTTGTGCTCCCTCCCCGCCCGACAGGTTGGTTTGTTTTTTTTTCAGTAAGAGCTCCTTTCAGTGGATGAAAAGTCCATCCCCTTCTGGGTGAATTCCCACCAAGGAGGGAGGTCTCTCTTGCTGATTTCCAGTCCTGGTGGAGAACTTGCAAACTTTGGCCTCTTAGAAACGCGGGCAGAGCGACCTCCACTTGTCCTTCTGCGAGTCCAACTGCTTTAAAAAAAACAAAGGGGGGAGGGGGGAAAAAATCCCAGGGAAGGAGATGTGGACAAGCAGGGGCTAAATGGCAAAATCCTCGTGGTCCTGGGGGCTGAAGGCGGCCGCCCTCAGCATGTCCAAGGAGTTGACGAGGATCAGGGTGCCCGTGAGATGCTTCCAGCGTTTGGTGATGGGGTTCTTCATCTTGTCCAGCCCCGTGTGCAGCTCCTGGATGACGTCCCGGTAGCT